AACCACCAGCTGATGGCACAATGGAGGGACCATCTTCTTCATGAATTGGAAGTGGTGATCGCATTCTTTTTGCTGGCCTACTTGAAGATGTAGATGTTTGCAGTTCTGCTTTATTTTCAGCTCTAATTTTGGTTTGGTATTCAATATCTATTTTGACTTCATCATAATTTTCATTATTACCGTAAATGTAGAAGATGCAGAAGGAACATCAAAGGCGCTTATTTGTAATCCGTCCAGAAATTGATCTGTAGTGTTAGCATTTTCCATTTCATTAAAACATTCAGCAATGAAGTCTTTTTCTATATCATTCACAACAAAAGTGGGATCTTTGACACTATCATCACTGTCGTAATCCGTTTCTTCATCTGTTTCAACCGAATCCATGAGCTATTGTATTTGCTTGTCCGTTAAGTCTTCCAATCTAAATCGCTTTGTTCGATTCATACGTGAAAAATTCATTTTTAAAATAAAAAAACAAAAATAAGTTTACTATTTTTTTTCCTTGAACCGGCAAGCGTTCTTCAAAGAACGCTTCACTTTGTCAAACATTTTTTACAACTGTTTTTTTCTGTAATCAAACTAATAATTTTTATTGATAAAAGATATTTATGTTACTTACCAAAAAAATTCCCAAGTCAATTGGATATTCGAAATACAAATTATATTTGATAGAACACGAGGTCGGTTCGACAAATAATTATCGATGCATCTACACTGACTTTTCGAACAATACTGATAGCAGCGTACAAACCAAATTTTCGATTGCATTAATCCTTTTAGCAAATGTTAAACACCTGTTGACGGACGGAACGGCATAGGTTTAAACGATAGTAATATTCAGGTATAGGTTTTTCAGCTTTCCAAAGACGAGTTCTTTAAAGACGCTTGCCGGCTAGAGGGTTAATGCTCGTTTATCCTGACACTTATGCTGTCTTGCGGTTTATCCAACATAAAAATTCTTTCATTCACAGGGTATTTTACAGATGCAGTTCTTCGATCTCTCTTGTGTGTTGTTAGGTTTGATTTTGGACAGGATAGATCTGAGTATATTGTTTGTTTTTAATTTTGTTATGATGTACTTAGTTCCTATCCTTTTTATGTTTTCTGATAAGCAGTTTTCATATCGTATTGTTATCATCCTTGAATCGCTTCTTGTAAGTGTTTCTGGATTGCTTTTTTTTCTATCTTGTGGAATTCCGTGTTGATAAATGACAATGAGTAGTCACTTTTTGTTAAAGCCTTTGTTCACAAGTTTTTTTCTTTTTAAAATGCCTTTTCATTAGTGCAGATGTTTTGGGCCCGATCATAAAATGATTTGATAATTCCTTTTTTGATGTTTACGTTATGATTTGAGTGATAATTTAAATATCTGTTGGTATAGACTGGTTTTCTGTAAACTTTGGCTGCATATCTTACAACATACATTAGCTCACAACACAACAATATACATTAAACATTCACAACAATGTTTTAGAATATACAAAATAGATTACAATTATAACAATATGTTAGTCAGTTTTGATATCACCAGCCTTACCATCAATATGTAATTGGAGAAAACTTTAAAAATAATAAAAGTTAAATTAGAGAGAGACGATATACTGGCAGCAAAATCCAAACTGAATATATCAGCTACCATGGAGCTAGTAACACTTTGCACATACAATACTTATTGTCAACTTGATAATGAATTCTATAAGCAAAATTTGTAGATGATGTGTTCTACATTTGACCTTATGGACCATAAGCATTAAACAAGTTCCTGATGGACATTCGAAAATAAAGAAGAATCAATGAAATTCACTATAGAACAAGAAAATAATAATTTACTTCTTTTTCTGGATGTATTAACGATTATCCAACCCACAGGAGTAAACCTATTGCGTCAGAAAAATCATTGGGGAAGGCAACGGGAAACCACCCCAATTATTTCTCCTGAGTAAAGTTAACATGGCTCAATACAATCGTAACGGAAGTATTACTGATCGTGGATCACGAAAACCAAGATCCAGCAGGGATGGGCGCGCACCAGACTGTAGGGCCTCCCCGGTCGTCATCACACGAAATCTCTACAATTTTAGAAGTACGACAACTTTAAAAATGTCTAGCAGTACAATCAGATTAGGTACCTGGAACTTTGAAAGCCTCTATGCAACAGGCAAGCTCAGTAACTTAGTTCAAGAGGTTAAACGTTTAAAAATTGATATAATGGGCATCAGTGAGCTCCGGTGGCCTGGAATGGAAATATGTGAACAAGATGAAGGCACACTATACTATTCTGAAGATAACACACATCATAGGAATGGAGTTGGCTTATTTGTAACGTCTAAATTTAAGAAATATTTGAAAAATTTTATACCAGTGAACGACAGACTAGCAATACTCCAATTAAATAGCAAACCATTTAATGTGAACGTTATCCAGATATATGCCCCTACTGCAGAAAAGAAATATGATAATGATGTCGAATCATTTTATAGCCAATTAAAACAGACACTTAAAAATCTAAAAGTAACGAAGTCACATATATTATTATAGATTTTAACGCATAAATTGGCCAAGGCCGAAGATCTGACCTGGTAGGTGAATATGGACTATGGGAGAGCAATGAAAGAGGCATAATAGATTATACCAGTTCTGTCAAGAACATGACATGATAATCGCAAATACATGGTTCAAATTACACAAAAGAAGGTTATACACATGGAGGGGACCAGGATATAATTCACTACATATGAATAGAAATCAGATAGACTATATTCTGGTAAACAAGAGATTTAAGAATGGCGTCGCCAGAGTAACAACATATCCTGGTGCAGGTATCGGTTCAGAACATAACCCTGTAATAACTGACATCAAAGTGAAGCTCAAAAAAAGTCCAAGAAAGCCCCAAAACACCAAAATTAAATATCTCAATATCCAACAAAACGTTAATAGAAAATGACTTAAACAATGAGCTAAAGAAATCAATAAATGAAAACAACACAGAAATATGGAACACATTTAAAGATCTTACCTTGAAAGTAATAGAAAAATATTCAACAACGTTACACATTCACAAAAAACAACAATGGATGACTGATGAAATCCTGGAATTAATGGAGCTGAGAAGGAAACTGAAAGGTAAAAAGACAGAATATAAGGAAAAACAGAAACAAGTTAAACAAAAAATAAAGGTGGCTAAAGAAAAATGGATGGAGGATAAATGCAAAGAATTTGAAAAGTTGAATGAAAAACATGATACGTTTAATATGTTTAAAAAAGTTAGAGAAGTAGCTAAAAATGATAATAGACGAACATGAAATTCGAACAACCTGGTGTAATTATATAAGTGAACTGTATAATGATGATAGACACGAAGAACCGGAGACTTTAGTTGAAGGTGAAGGACCAGAAATACTAAAATCAGAAATACTGCATGCTATAAAGTTAGCAAAGAACAAGAAAGCCGTTGGCCCTGACAACACACCGACAGAGATATTAAATCTTATAAATGAGGAGAACATTGGAATACTGGTCAAACTTTTCAATGATGTTTATTCGACTGGTGATATCCCTGAAGATTGGTTAAAGTCCGAATTCATAACACTACAAAAAAACAACGTCCGAAAAACTGTAGCGATTATAGAATGATAAGTCTTATGAGCCACACTTTGAAAATATTTCTACGCATCATCCACAGTAGAATCAGAGATAAATGTGAAGAAGATCAGGATGAAACACAATTTGGCTTCAGAAATGGACTGGGAACTCGGGACGCCCTCTTTGCACTAAATGTATTACTGCAGAAATGTCGAGATTAAAGGAAAAACGTCTTTGCTGTATTTATTGACTACGAAAAGGCCTTTGATCGAGTACAGCATCACAAATTAATTACAATATTAAAAGATAAAGGAGTTGATAGTGAAGACATACGATTCATAGAAAAGAAAAGTTATACTGGCATCAAACAGCGACAGCTTGCATAAAATCAACAGAAATATGTAAAATACAAAGAGGTGTCAGATAGGGTTGTATACTAACCCCACTGTTATTTAATTTATATCCAGATGGAATATTTAAAGAAGCGCTGCATAATTTGGAATGGGGCGTGAAAGTTAATGGAATTCTGATAAATACAATCAGATATGCAGACGATACAGTTATTTTAAGTGATGACATGAATGGATTACAATGCCTTTTAAATGCCATTGATACAGTGGGAAGAGAGTTTGGCCTAAACATAAACTGTTCAAAAACAAAACACATGGTGTTTAGCCGTTTAGCACATCACGATGCACGATTATATGTTGATGGTCATATAATTCAAAGGGTGTCCAGTTTTAAATATCTTGGTTGCCACATTAGTGAACAACTAGATCCAGATCAAGAGATAAAATGTAGAATCGAGATAGCCCGCACGACATTTTTAAAAATGATGTCATTCGTCTGTAATAATAACTTGAAACTTCAACTTCGAAAGCGTATGGTTAAATGCTACATTTGATCAGTCCTCTTATACGGTGTCGAAGCATGGACATTAAAAATATCCACTATTAATCGTCTGGAGGCCTTTAAAATGTGGCTGTACAGACGTATACTAAAAATTCCATGGACGGCTATGCTGACAAATGTGGCAGTCCTTGAGGTGGCAGTTCTTGAGAGAGCAAATGCTGCTCGCGAGCTGCTAGATAACATCAAATGTAGAAAGATGGCCTATTTTGGACACGTAGTACGGGGAGACCGATATAATATTCTTCAACTTATGATGATGGGTAAAATCGAAGGACGCAGAGGAATTGGTAGAAAGCAGGCCTCTTGGTTGAAGAATATCAAAGAGTGGACAGGAATAAAGAAAGCTGAGCAACTCTTTAGAATAGCTCGAGACAGAGACAGTTTCTCCATGTTAATCGCCAACGTCAAGGGGACTTGATAGGGCACGTTGAGAAGAAGAAGAATTAACGATTATTTAATCGAATGATTAATATATGAGCAGAAAACTTGTCAGATGATGTTTATACTCATCTACAAACTCCTGTAAAATACATTACAATGGATAATATAAAAAAAAATGAAGAAGAAGAAGAAAAAGAAGAAAAAGGAGAAAAAGAAGAAGAAGAAGAATACTTTGAAGAAGAAGAAGAAGAAGAAGAAGAAGAAGAAGAAGTAGAAGAAGAAGAAGAAGAAGAAGAGTAATACATGCACCATTTTACATTTATACCGCGGTGTACATATAAATCTCTACACAGTTTGTTGTAAAAAATGAAGATTACATAAAGATATTTGAAGGTACATGTAAGGTTATATTGATGTTTTATTACAAATAACAAAGCTGATGGCGACTTACTCATTGAACGGAATTAAGAGGGAGTTCTAAATCAGCTAAATTCATGCCGCAATTTACATTTTTAGAATTTAAATCTTTCGATTTTAAATATTTTCAAGTCAAATCCTTTCTCCACCACGATCGGATCCCTAAGCCGTTGTGGTCTTCAACCGTTACCCTGGTCAAGGGACTCTTAACAGGTACTAGTTTCTCAGGTCAGGAAACATCTGCAATCTGTAGAAGGCAGGAATCGATTCACTTTCCCTAATAGGACTATTCGCAAAGGAGTTCCTACCCGCTACCTACAATATCAAACAAGGATGCTGCGTGTCTCCTACTTTGTTTACGATCTACTCGGAGCAAGCGATGAAGACGTGGAAAAGAAAATGCAGAAACATGGAATTCCTCTAACCGACGCAATATTGTACACATTGAGTTTTGCAGACGACCACCTAGTGATGGCCGAAGACCATAAAGACCTCGAATATATGACCCGTAAACTTATCGAAAAATACGAACTATGGGGGCTAGAAGTAAATATCAAGAAAACTGAATACATGGGTATTGGGGAAATTCAACAAAATCTAATCTTGGAATAAATACAGCGAGAAATAATAATTTACTGTCAAAAATACTAATAATTAGGCATGCAAAAAACCAACGATGGCAAATTAGATGAAGAAATTAAACATAGAAATAACCAGAGAAGACATGCCATTAGACAATTAATCAGTGTACTGTGTGACAGAATAATCTCCGAAGAAAACAAACACAAAATCTATAACAGCATTATAAAAAGCATTGTTACATATAGAAGTAGGTATGGCCACTGAAAAGAAAAACTTAAAAGATTAGAAGCAACAGAAATGGACTTCTGAGGAAGAGAGGCTTTAGAACGACCGAGATAAATAGAGACTGAACATCAGAAGGTGGCGTAGAACGTTATAAACGGATTGATTAACCCTGTGGTGCACGGGTTGGGTCTGTCAGGCCCATTCAGTTCTTCGAATATCTCTATTCGGTCAGCGAGTCTAAGTACGGTCCTGGTGGTCTAGGTACCATTCGTCGGCATAGCTAGCTATAATCCCTCAGTTACGAATCCGCATTGAAGCAATAGTGTCGATGATATATCTGTTTTCGTTCTCTCAGACCCAACCCGTTCCTTAATGTAAGTTTTTTTATGGAAGTGTAAAACAAAATTTGCAGTGTATTGTTTTTAGAGCTTAGCAAAACAATGTATTCTTACAAGAGAGAAGCAAAACATTTGCAACGTTTCTACGAGGAAGTTGCAACCCACGAGGAAGATAAAGATTCATATTCCGATTAGTCTATAGTTGGCAACTTGGAATATGAAGATGCTAATCATAACTCAGAGTCTGAATTGGATTTATCAGACACCGAATTAAACGTACAAGAATGTATTCCACAAGGTTAGTCAAACCAACACCTTTATTACAATACCAAAGATGGAATGAAATGTAATAAGATATGCGGATCACGAAATATTGGAACTAGACGAGAAAATATCATAACAAAACTTTTTGGAGTTATTCGTGAAGCGAAAAGTTTCAAAACTTAAAAAGAATGCTGGGAACTGTTTTTTAATGACAAAATTATAAAACATATTGTTGAATGTACTAATGTATATATCGAGCGTGTGTATAATATAAAGACTATAATATAAATAATATAAAGACAGTTCCGATGCGAGTCTAACAAATATACTCGTACGTGAACTAAAAGCTCTGATTGGTCTGTTTTACTTAGCTGGAGTTTACCGTGGAGGTAAAACTTCAATATTTGAGTTTTGGGAAAGAAATGGTATGGGCATTGACATATTTCCGGCAACGATGGCTCTCCGCAGATTTCGATTTCTTATGAAGTGCTTACGCCTAGATGATATTCGTACAAGGGACGAACGGGCACAAGTAGACAAACTTGCAGCAGTTCGAGTCGTATTCGAGGATGTAGTTGAAAATTTTCAAAAATATTATATCTTTGACCAATATGTCACTATCGATGAGATGCTTTTAGGCTTTAGAGGTCGCTGTAGTTTTAGAATGTACCTTCCAAAAAAATCGGCTCGATACGATCTGGAGGTATTTTCCTTGGTGGATTCTCGCACGTTCTATACTTATCAATTAGAAAGATATGCCGGTACACAACCACCAGGTCTATATTCTATCAGTTCTGCAGTCAACGATGTGGTTGAGCGGCTTTGCAAACCAATCTCCAGATCCAACCGGAATGTCACAATGGACAATTTACATCAATTGAACTCGCACAAATCATACTGACAAATCATAGCCTAACAATTGTAGACACCCTACGGAAAAACAAAAGGCAGATCCCAACCGAATTTTTAATGAACAAGAGACCGCCAAAATCAACTATGTTTGGATTTACCAAAGATATGACAATATTGTCCTATATACCAAAATCAAAAAAACATGTTGTTCTTTTGTCAACCCTACATCATGATGACCAAATCGATCCGAAAACGGGTGACGAAAGTAAACCTGAAGCAATAATGTTTTATAACTCTACGAAAGGTGGTGCGGACACCGTTGATCAACTTTGAAGTTCCTATACTGTCGCAAGAAATACAAAACGCTGGCCCATGGTTATCTTTTATGCATTACTTGATGTTGCTGCAATAAATGCATTTGTGATACAGAGAAGTAACACACCGTATCTAAAAACATGCAAAAGAAGATTTTTTTTAAAGAACTATGTCTTCAGTAAGTGATGGACAATATAAAAGCAAGAGCTCAATCTCCTCATTTGGCACGAGATATAAGAGAGCTTGCTGCTAAACTCAGTGGTGTTGGACCAGTAGGACCTGCGAAAATTTAAAATAAAAGGGAGCGTTGTGCTTTTTGTAGAGATCGTAAAACTCGCTACATGTGTCACTACTGTAAAAAATTTATTTGCTTAGAACATACCGTACCTGTTTGTCGCATATGCATTGATAAAATGACTGAATAAATTATATACAAGGTGTTTTTAAACATCTGCCATATTGTAGCATATAATTTCTTTTATATTTTTTTTGTTTTAATATTATAATAGCAGTTCATTTCTATATGTACATGTAAGTTATCTTTAGTGCTAGTTCTAATATATGCAACGCAAACCTGTTGTTACAAAATTAAACATAAAAAATTTTTAGTTTAATTTTTGGGCTTCTCAGACCCAACCCGTTCCTTCGTGTATCAAATTATCACCCGTGCACCGAAGGGTTAATTAATTGACTTATTGATGAACATATTTTTTGCAGATGAGCCCTAGAATAAAATATTCGCACAAGCACAATCCGTATGAGGTTAATCTAAATTTGTGGTATGCATAAAAGAAATTAATCTATCCAGAATAATATGCATGGAAGATATACGTTTTGCAGTAGTAAAATAACCGAAAAACTCGGTTTCTTTGTGGGCAGTGCAGTGGAACATTCAACCGGACTATGCATTGTGTGCAATGAAGAAGAAAATTAAGAAGCAAACGAACAATAATTTCAGTTTATGCCAGACATTTGTTAAATAATTTTATTTTTCTTTTCATTTCAACCCGCGTCGATATGTTGATATTTTGTATTAAAAAACTGGACATGTTTTTGTAAATTGTTTGTTAATATATGTTTGTATCTAAAAGAAGACAATTTTTTTAACTAGCAGTTTTTTTTTCGAATATAAATATATATTGATTATAACTTACTATGTTAATATTTAAATATAGTTATAATAAATATTTAGTGGTTAGAAATTTAGTACTTACTCCTTTTATTACTTCCAAACTAGTAAAAGTTCGTCTACCAAAAGATTCATTTAATTTGGGAAGTTTATTAGCTGTAAAATAGAATAGAAAGTTTGAGAAAATACCTCTAGAAGTAATCTGACATTTAACAGACAAAATTATTTTTACAGATATTGGTTGGTTAGTTTATGATTACGTGATTGAACGCGGAGAATAAACAAATTCGAACAAATTTACTGTTACATAAATTATATTTTATGGAACTGTAAATTTGTTCAAATTTGCCATCGCCGTCTCTCTGTCCCCATTTTACCTGTTCTTTTGTCATAGGGTGTTGCCTCGTCTATGTTCCTTGTTGTCATTGCTTCATCGATATTGTTACGCCAACTTTTTCAAGAATGTCCTTTCTTTTATTTCTTAGTTTGGGGTTCGGTCTCTCAGAGAGACACCCAACATCTGGCGCTCCATACACATCTGAGGCACGCGAATCTTATTAACTACCTTTTTTGTGAGTGTTAATATTTCCGCTTCATAAGTGAATACAGGTAACACACATTGATAAAAGATTTTCTTTTTGAGGCATGAGTAGCTCCGATTTAAATACATAGTTTGATTTACCAAACGCTGCCCAGGCTAATCCTATGCGACGTAGGAACTCACATGTCTGGTTATCTCTGTCCAATCGAATTTCATGTCCTAGGTCTTATACGATGTAGTTTTGTACAATATCCCTTCCAAAAACAGCAATATTTCGATTTAGCACCAGATTAGTCATTATTTGTATCTTGTTTATATTAATGTTTAGTCTGACCTTCAAGGAAGCGTGATATAATTTTTTAAACATTACTATTGCATCATCCATACTATCGGCTAAAAGGACGATGTTAATCCGTGCAAATCTCAAATGACTGAGCTTCTCTCCATTTTTGTTGATACGACGCTCGTTCAGATGTACCTTCCTACTAATATGTTCTAAAAGCGTCTAAAGTTCTATAAGACTGTGTCTCCTTGCCGTACTCCCTGTATACAGAATTTATTTGTTTCTTGTTCAGATAGTCTTACGCTATCTATGACATTTTAGTAGATATATTTAATTATGTTGGTGTAGCGATAGTCTATTTGGCATTATGTCAATGATTTTAACATTTTCTGATGTCTTATGGTATCTAATGCTGAATTTACAACAACTTCATCTTAGATAGTCCATCTCAGTCTTTGGAAACATCCCAATCCTGAGTCATATAGTGTACCACTTTCTAAAATACGTCTATAGATGTTTTTTGTTTATTTTTTTGTTGACTTTTGCCAGAGAAAATTCACTATTCTCTTTCTTTTCTTATTGGAAATTACCCCCAAATAATTCCAGATTTTATATCCTTGATTTTTTCATTTTCTACATCTAAATCGGTTACGTCGTGATTGCACACTATTAGATTTTCGAATTTTGTCATATTTATTTTTAGGATCACCGCTTCATATTCTTTTAATTTGCTTATTATATAGCTAAAATCGTCTTCCGATTGCGGATACTGTTTGGTTATCAGTAAAAGGAGTGTAAAAAGCTTCTGTTCTTTTACAGATATGCAGAAAAATGCATTTTGCATATACCTATTCCGGTCCTTAGTGATGATCATGTACTTATTTTTGTTTGAGATCACACAGTGCGTTCAGTTAATCATTATTGTTATCCATTATTAATATTGTATCATCCACAAAACGTTCTGTCCTTGGACCTCTGCTTTTTACAGTTTATACCAACGCGTTGCAACAGTGTCAATTATTAGGTGTCAAGCAAAATATCGCTCTACATATAATCACAATACACACAATACACATAATCAAAAACCAGCTATCACTCCAAATGGACTTCTTGGGCACTGTTTTAACTTGGTGTTTCCAGTGGTTACTAAACTTAAATGCGGAAAAATGTGTAGTGCTTCGAATTGATAAAAATAACCCACGTGGAGTCTTATGAAAAAAAACTTAGAATGGCTAACATAACTTCTTTCAAACTTCGTCGACAAAGTGGAGACTTAATAACAAAGTTTAAAATATTAAAATTCAAATTTGGAAATGTGAAATTGAATATAACATTGTTACCAAAAATCAAGATATACGCCTAAGAGGTCATCAGTTTAAACTAAAAAAAGGTAACTTTTCTACAAGATCAAGACAGAATTTTCTACCAAATAGAGTTTTTGGGTGCTAGAATTATCTTAAAATTAAAATTTTTAAAATATTGTTTTTTTTTAAACCAAAAATTGTAATTTTATTTTTTTTTTATAATTTTGTAATTTACTAGTATCTGGGTTACTAATTGGAAACAGATAAAGATATTTTAAATACAATTAACGTCAGAAAACTGCAATATCTGGACCATGTCATGAGGGGCGAGCATTATAACTTGTTGCAATTAATAATGCAAGGAAGAATACAGGGTACAAGGAGTCGCGGAAGAATACGCATCTCCTGGTTAAACAGTTTGAGAGCTTGGTTTAACTACACTTCTGCTAATCTCTTTAGAGCAGCGGTATCGAAAGGTGCGAATTGCCATGATGGTTGCCAACCTTCTTATAGGAGATGGCACATGAAGAAGAAGAAGGTTACTTATGAAATTTCTTTGTTTTTTTGGCATAATAGGGATTTTTCCCTCTGCTCTTGGTTATGTATAATAATAGTAATAATAATTATTATTTGAAAGATCTTGATTGATGGTTGTTCAATTTTTTCACATGCGAAAAATTATGTTATTTTTTCGCTGTGTTACTAACTATCCTTCTGCCACAATTTTACAATCGTTACCTTAGTCGAACCCTTGATAACCTTTCCCATTCCAGTTCAACCTCCTCTCCTTTAAAAACACAGACAGTTTTAAAATAGCAAAGAAGAACAACTCTCTCTTGATTGTTGACTGTCGCTAGGGACAGTCGTTCGTTCTTTCGTCTGCTGAGTCTCGCTAGGCAGACGTACCCTCTTCTCTTGCCTTTTACCTATCGCTTGTTATAGACGTATCCCTCTTGTCTGTTGTCTATTGATAAGAACTGACGCTCTTTCTCCCCTGTTGACTGTCTTTGGTGAGAGGGGTGTTCTCTCTACTGTTGACTGCCGCTAACTAAATATCTCTCTCTTGCTTTTAGTTACGTGAAAAATACCGCAAATACTGTTTTAAATCGTGTACAGACGCAAAATGTGCTCTATCTCGTGACCTCAGTGTTAGTACCTCAAAACACGTGATCAGAAACTGATATGCAGACAGATTCCGCATATCGAGAACAACCGCGAGTGAAATCCGCGAGTGTGTGGAGCAGAATATTGGTAAGTCTTTGTATAAACTTAATTTGCTATTATCTGTATAAACCTTTACTATATATTATAATTTATTTGAACCAGCCCTATGTAATACAGTCCTCATTACACTGAAAATATACTCATAAAATCACATATGTACAGCCTTTTTGTCCAATGGTAATCCTTTATTAAATCTGAGAATGCCCCTTTAAATACCTCTTTACCACAGACATTGGGGTACTCCTGTCTACATTTTGTTGCATTCGATCTCCTCGACCTAAAAGTTTGTCAACTTTTACTTCTCAAGAGTCAAGGCCAATGGCAAGTCAAGACAAATAAATATCAAAATAATAGAATACCATATGCTATATAATAATACAAAATTATACCAACCTGATATTCTACCAGATGGTAGCCGTTTCATGTTTGGCCCAAAATTTGTAGTCTTGGAAAATTCCGATTTGCTCATTGGGTTAACATTCGGCTCTGTGGTTAAAACCTTATCCAAAACCACTTTTGAACCATTTGCCTTAACCACTGTTGCTTGCTTTAAATCCTTATCTTCTATATCTTTAAAATCTTTTTCAGTTTGTATGGTAGTTATAATGTTCACGGATTTCTCATCGTGTACTTTTCTAAGCAACGTTTCACGTTTCTAGAATAAATTAGTTTAGGACATTATTTTGTATTAAATATAAGAATTCTAATGTTTTTTGTTGAAATTTTTTTCTGTATTTCATTACCAATAAAGAAAGGTTTATCAAAGAAGCTTTTGAAAAAACTGAATTAAATACAAAAAAGGAACACGATTTTTGGAACATGGAATGTATAAATTGGTCTCGATAATTCGATATTTTAGTTATAAACAATTGAAAGAAATTTCTGCAGATACATTCGTCAATGGGTTGAGAGACAGTGAAATACAGAAAGCTTTACGGCTAGCAAGACCGAAAGTTTTAGTTGAAGTGCTCGCCATTGCCTTGGAACACGAGACAGCTAGTCGAGTTTTACGGAGCTGTCACGTACGAATCTCTGAAGAGAGCGACGAACAAAACAATAAACGTCTGGAGGAAATCGTACGGAAAATAGTTCGTAATACGATGCAGAGACGCGAAATCAGATGTTGGAATGGTGGTGACGTAGGTCACATTAGCTGTAAATTGCAAGAAAATATTACAACAATCAGAGGGCTAGAACAGATCGAACACTGGGCTGGAAAAAGTCATTAAAATGCTGATGCTCAGTCAGATGATCCAAGTATAAAAAGAGTATTGGATTGGATGCGTCGAAGTGAAAGACGATCTTGACAACACATCAGTGCATGTAGTCCAGAAGTTAAGTCTCAATGGAGCCAATGGAATTGCATAAAAGATGATCTTCTGTATTGAACCTTTGAGGACGATAACGGTACAGAATCTAAGCTTTAGTTGATTGTACCTAAAAGTAAAGTGTCAGAAGTATTGCGTCAGTTGCATGACGGTGCATCAGGTGGACACTTTGGTATTACAAAGACTCTGCAAAAGGTTCGAGAACAGTTTTACTGGGTGAACTGTAAAGATGATGTAAGAAGATGGTGCCGGAAATGTAAACTATGTGCAACCAGTAATGGTCCAGTTGATAACAAGAGGGCAGCCATGAAACAGTACAATGTTGGTAGTCCTATGGAAAGAGTAGCAATCGACAATGCAGGTCCACTTCCAGAGACGAATGATGTAAATAAATAGATTCTGGTAGCCATGGATTATTTTGCGAAATGGACTGAGGCCTACGCAATACCAAATCAAGAAGCTGCTACCGTTGCAGTGGTACTTGTTAGAGAATTCTTTAGCCGATTTGGTGTTCCCTTGGAGACCCACTTCGACCAAGGGCGAAACTTCGAGTCAACCCTTTTCCAAAATGTTTGTAAATTGATTGGTGTCAATAAAGACCAGAACGACACCCCTGCATCCTCAACTAGATGGAATGTTCGAGAGGATGAACGGAACGATTTGTAAACATATCTGTCCAAAGTTGTCTCAAAACATCAAAGAGATTGGGACCAGCATATTTATTTATTCCTAATGGCCTACCGCTCGGCCGTGAATAAGACTACAGGTCAGACTCCAACCTGCCTGATATTAGTTCGTGAAGTTCGTTTGTCCTGCGACCTAGAGTTTGGTTGCAGACCTACCGAAGAACATGTTGCAAGCGAAGATTATGTCGACCGTCTGAAGTTAAGAATGAACAACATTTATGAACTTTCCCGACAACATATCCAGTTATCGAGTGACAGAATGAAAGATCAATATGAATCTCGATCCAAAAATGAAAGTTATGAAGTAGGTGATCTTGTTTGGCTTTATAATCCACAACGTCGTCGAGGCTTGTCTCCTAAACTGCAAAGACAATGCATGTCCGCATGAAATTAAAAAGCTATAGAGTCCTGTAGATTCCGATATACTGGGCCTTCATGTAAAGTTGCTGATCGAGACTTTCAGATCTAAGAATTGAGCAGTGTAACGAAATAGTCCATCTTCGATGCGTGGCACGTGTCACAATTCTTAGAAAGATGAATCTCGAATACATAGTCAATGGCATTTTCAATAGCGCCTGCCTTCGAGGCGCTTCCAACGGGAAGTCTAGAGATGGACCACTCCAGATGATTCTAGAATAATACTTTTGGTATATATATGAACGCTCTTATGAGCGGTGTTGATAAGATATAATCGTGCTGTAAAGTTATAAATAAATATATTTATATAAATTAAGAACCGCCCTTTTTATTTAAAAACGGTACATTATTTTAACTTGCAATTGCAACATATTAGTGCCATGATAAATATATTATTAAAATATTGTAAAACTGTTTTCTTGTGGCACTCTAAGTTAAATATTATGTTTATATAGTAAAGTTGATTGAAATAAAAACTACATTTTTAAATAACCTTTGACGTTTCAATTTTCACTCCGGAAAACGTTTTCAACAAAATATTTTTTTTAATTACGAGAATATATGTAACCAACAAGTTCTTCTTCTTCTTCTTCCTTTATTGGGTACCAACAAGTTGCTAGTAGATTATGTTTTTTTTTAATTGATGGTTGACTTGGCCTCGATCTTATAGGCAAGAGCCTTCTTCTAGCTGTCGGAAAATCTGAGGGTGTTGTTTTAACCCTCGGAATATCATATTCTGACTGTTTTGTGTGTTTAGTTGTATTTGTTGTTTGTATAATGTGTGTTTGTATAATTCCATATTGCAGAAGATCGAGAAGCCTTCGCAATGGTGATCGCCAACGTCGGATAATTCTGATATGGCACCCGAAGAAGAATAATAATGTGTGTTTAACGTAGATTATATGTTTGTGTATTTTGTGTTGCATATGTATTGTGTATAATTGTAGACGATGTCTGTGACTTCTTTTAATCCGCTATTGTTGGTATATATGTTCTTGTTGTTGACTTCTTCTTATAGTATTTGCAACTAAAGCCTGCTATATCCTGCTGATGGTTTTACTATATATTTTTCTTTATTATCCTCGTTATCATTATACCAAGTATTTTTTTCCAGACAGAAATCATTATCTGGTTGAAATTAAATGGTGTCAGTGCAAAGTGTTAGTAGCTCCATGTTAGCTGACACATTCAGTTTGGATTTTCTTGGCAATGTATCATACCTCTCTAATTTGTCTCTTATTATTTTTTAAGTTTTCTTTAATCGTGCATTAGTGAAAAGATATATACAATGCTAATCAGTTTTGGTATTATTTGATACAGGTTTTGACAAAAAACTACTTTGTTTTACTACCCGTTTTGCTACCCGTTGTCATTTACAAACAAGGAATTTCACAAAATTGAAGAAAAAAAACAACAAAACACCACAAGCAATCTAGAAACACTCACAAGAAGAGATTCGAAGTTACGGATATAATGGTATGTAAAGGGCTTATCGAAAAAATTGAAAAGGATACAAATATTTAACATATTGTTTATAAAAGTATAAAAATATGAATTTTCTTCAAGTGGTTGGTGATCGTTTTTGGAATATAACATCAAAATAGTTTTTGCAAATTTGATTATAAAAGAATAAATAGTAGATACCACTCCTTGGTTGTCCAACAAAAAATCTAGAAATTTCTCAATTATGCCTCTTCTGGTAGAAGGTTCTTCTGGTACATAATACAACTGTGATTTGTGAAGTCGTATACTCTCAGTATTTGTTCTTCTTCCCCTTTTTGGTCTTTTTGATAAAAAATTACTTGTTGTGGGTTGACGGCCAACCGAAGGATTTCTTGAAGGTCTCTCGTTTTTTGACATTTTAAATATATTTGACGTTTTATAAATCAATAAAGACATACTACAATTGTCAATAAATATATAAAACAGATCAAAAAACAAGAAGTGGGAGAAAATATAGAAGGCAAAACAAAGAGTGAAAAACATATTTTTCTTTTTTGTCTGCATTTTTACATAATCTCTTCTCTTGATCCACATAATATAGTTTGATTTACTAATATGTTCTTGTGTAATCATTTCTATTGTGACTGATAATGTCATGAATACGTAACAAGAAACCAGTTGGAAACTGAAAACGGTCTATTCTGATATTTAATTCAAAATAAGATACTTTTTAAGTGTACAGATATCTGGTATTTGTGAACTAGCTCACTCACACCTCCAAAACAATTTAATTTTAATAGGAAATATATTATGTAACAGACAGGACTCAAACTTGGATTGAATATTAATAGTTCATTGAAATGTTATATTTTTTATGCCTTTGCGTGCATTTCTTACAGGACGCAATATTATTTTTTCGATGTGATAAATTTAAGTTTGTGTGGTCACCACTCTTGTGCCTCGGCCTAGATCTTGGAAAAATGAGGAAAAGTGTTTTCGCGCTGTATCTTGTAAAGTAGCAACCATAGATAAATAATATAATATATAGAAATAGATATGCAACTCAGTGTATAAATTTCGTTCATTAGGACCACTTGCGGCTGGGATAATTACTAATAATCTTTTGGCGGAAAATTCAAATGGACACCCCTTAGGGAGAGCGCCCACCAAACTGGCGTAACAAGTGGAAAGTAGCAAGTAGCACGCGTCTAGCATGTTATTTAAAATGAAAATGAATGTTCAGCGTATACCAAAATGACAGTGACGGCATTCATTCTAATCATTAGGAAGGGAGCTGTAAAATTTTGTTTGTCCAAAGTGTTCAATTTTTTTAAACCTTTAAAAGGATGAAAGCCCATCAAGTATACTGTCCTATAAGTTTAAATTTCGCGACATCATTGTAGATCATTTGTTGTTACTCCCAGCTTTTTCGAGATACGACCCAACATTAGTAGTTTACAACCTCGACAAACTTTAATTCATCAAAATTTAACAGAAGCATCCTGAGTTAGCTAGTTAGCTTTTTCAGTGATAAAAATTTACTAACGTTTTTTCATCTATTTATATCGTGAAAATAAAGATTATTCTCTAACAGCATGAGATACAAACGATTCGCTAAGGCAGTGTCCAAAATAACATTTAACTTATCACCGCTTCCGGCAACATGAGATGCGGCTTGTTTCTACAGTGTTTATCACCAGGAAACACTGTGATTCTCAAGATTGGGGCTGAAAAAAACATGAAAAAATTTGGATACTAATTACAACTTTTAAATCTCCAGC